CAATACTAGAAAAACAGCCTTTTACGATGCTCATTGCGCGTCGTAAAAGGCTCAGACGACGCGCAAATGCGCGTCAAGGAAGGCCCTGTCATAAAGAGAGACGACGCGCATTTACGACGTGCATGTACGACGCACGTTTACGACACGCATTCGCGTGTCGTAACTTTACGACGCGCGTGTTAATGACACGCAATGCGTATCAAGAAAGCCCCAGTCAAGAAAGGCCATGTCATAAATGAAGATGACACACATTTTTGCATATCGTAAATTTAAATGTTTAAAAAAAATTATATATTTATTAATTTTTAAATTAAATTTGCATTTAATTTCTCATAATAGAAATAAAATACTTTTTTGATAGATTTACTAATTTTCAAATTAAATAACACATTAAAAGTCTCATAATACAAAATAAAATACCATAAACAATAAAGATAATTCATTGCACTAAGGACCATGTTAACAAAAGAATATAACATTATATACCATAAGTACCCTCAAGTAATCAATCTCTTACAATGTTACTAAAAATACCCTCAAGTAATCAATGTCTTACAAAGTTAAGAGACTTAGATACTCAGTTGGTATGTAATATGGCACTAAGAAGCCCAAAAATTGTTTGTGTTTTTCCTGTTCCTGGTGGATCCTACATGGACAAAAGGTAAGAATTAACATTTTCAAAGTACAATGCCTCAATAAGGAAATCAATGGTAAAAGGCAAATCCGAATAAGAACAAACTTTATACATATATACATGGAAGTATTGTAATACACAATAACAGCAACAAATACCAAATTACCCTTTGCTTACCTTTTCTTATGGCCACCTCCAAAAGTGAGAATTTGATAAAAGATTTAGGTCACACATTCTCTCATCAAGCTTTGTATCCAAAAGTGAGAATTTGATAAAAGATTTTAAAAGTGGGAAAATATCAAGAATATAGAGGATAATACATTAAGAAAAAAAATTACCTTCACAAAGAGCAAGTTTCAACCTTCTTCCCCAACAATGTTTGAAAGCAAAAAGCTCATATATATCGATCTCTGCTAAAAGGATATCTATTGCTTGATGATCTTTCTGCAAATTGAAGTACAAAATATATTAGATCATATGCCTAATATATTTTGTACTTCAATTTGCAGAAAGATCATCAAGCAATAGATATCCTTTTAGCAGAGATCAATATATAAAAGGGTTTTATACTTGTTTACCTCTTCATCATCCTCATCACCAAAGTCCTCTTCATCAGCATCCTTTAAAAAAGAATTTTCAAAAAACAAAATCAGTAACACAATAATGAAGGAAGGTGGATTTCAAAAAAAGAAAAAGAAAAGGTTTTAAGAAAGGTTTTATTCAAGCAAACAATAAAAAGATGCTTATTTTTTTATGATTAATTAAAAGAATATATAATCTGAGCATACTCCATCTTGAATTTAATCCATGTCATCTTCACATTGGGTCCCACTGAACCAGCTAAAGAAGTTGTTGCATCAAACCAATCAAGAAACAAAATATAGACCTTTTAGTTATGTTTCTTGTTTACTTAACAAAACAAGACTTAATCAAGAAAAAAAAATATAGACCTGTCCCTAACCTTCTGTGCTGTGGAAAAAGCTAATCCAACCAAACCTCTTATCCTACCAACCTCTTTCTCAACTGTAGCCTTCAACTTAGTATCAACCTGAAACCAAACTCATTTTATACATTAACCAATTATAAAACACTTCATATCAATATCTGAAAATTTTAACTAATGACAAAAATAACCTTGTCAATGCAGTGATCAGCATCCAGGAGATAACATAAGTAGAGAGTTGCTTGTACACATCAGCCTCCGAATACTAGTCAAAAGTTAAATTTTCAGTTTTTGATCAAGGGTAATGACAAAAATAGTGTTTTTTACTTTGAGATGAAAACCAACCCGTCTCACAAGACGACCATTACATCGAAGGTAATTTGGGCATACTGTTCCTCTCTCAGATTCACCAACAACACGGAAGTTTAAACTCCATGTTGTATAGTCGCATGTTTCATCATCGCACTGAAATTTTACATCCAATTTCAGTAAAAAAAAATAAAAAATAAAAATCATAATAGCATTGTTTGCATACCGTCATAATTCCTTTGTAGTATGTGGATATGAAGAATTTAATTCGTCTTTTTACCTGATTCCATTCCACCAACAATTTACTCACTTTATTTCTTTGATTTCCATGTATTATATACTATGTATGTAGGAAAAACAAACCTGATTGGCTAAAGATGTTGGAGGGAGTTCCACTTGACACTTAGGGCAACATAATTTCTACCAAAAGGTAGTGGTGGTGTTATATCCACTTGAACCTGCAAAATACAAATCAAAATAAAATAAGGAGTAAATATAAGGGATAATTAAAGTTATATACTACTAAATAGAAGTAAATACATGTTAAGTTATATACGACTAAAGTCATATATGAGTAAATTATATTTAGCAATGTGTTTTAGGAAGATAACTAAATATGACAATTAGCTTTGATTCTAACACATGAGCCAAGATTTTTAATATATTTTAAGTTCTCATGTTTTTTCAATGTTGTTTTTCTTTTTTAACCGTATTTTCCACGGGTTTAAACCTAGTATAGTATATGTTTTTTGATTTGAAAATTTTAATAAAAAACTACACCAAAAACTTAAATAAGTTAGAATTTGTTTTTTTTTTTTTTTTTTTTTTTTTTTTTTGTTTTGTTTTGTTTTGTTTTACTATTAGTGAATTATCATGAAAAGCCTTATCCTATTAGTGAGGAGACAAATCACAATTGTTTCAGCAATGAACACATCACGAGAGAGCAGATAACCAAGTAATTATACGCCATTTGGGAAAGACATTTGTTTCCTACCCATCCATCAACATCTGATTCGTAGTGCATGAAAAGGACACCACATTAGAATAATCACCTTCGAAATGAAAGCTTACTAGAAAAAAAACAGAATGAAACAGGATCGAAAACAAGAATAAGAGTATTAAATATTCAATCATCTTAACAATGAACATTGCGTTAATTAAAAAACCTGATAGCCGACTAATCTATATTCTTTTGCTCATGTATTTCTTTAATTGTCTAGTACGTATGTTTTCTTATATATATACCGATTAGTTTACTGCTTTACTTGAGTCTTGATATATACCACATCGTAGTTTTTGATTTTATAGTCAAAAGCCAGTCGATTCTGTTCCATGATGAATTGGTGCTCTATCTTTTTTTTTTTCTCTCTTCTTATACATGATCAGCAACCATTTCCTTCATATGTTCCATAGATTCCCACCACGACCTTTTCTCTCACTACCCATAATCGGGCATCCGGAACCTGTTATATTCTCACGAACCTGCCTGAGATCTGAGACCTGTTATATGCTCACAACCTGTTATATGGTGTATTAGATATCTAAAAATTAATACAAATGATTAAAAGATAATGAAATGAAATCAATCATAAAATCTGAAATAAAGAAAATATGTTATAAAACTGACCTTCATTTGCATGTGTTATAAAACTGACCTTCATTGTTGTTAGTTCTTCCACACACTACATTAGAACTCCACAATTTGGTACCTATTCAACCATTTGTGCGTGGATGAGAAGGGGGGGATAGATAAATTTGTTTCAACTTGAAATAAGAGGTGTATACGTGTAACAAAGCTCTTTTGTGTGTTTGTAAGAAAACTCTTTCAAGTAAAGTTACAGGTTTCAACCCATACTGTGAGTACATAAGTAGCATAATACCTTAAATGCCCTTAAAGTTGCTATGTAGCGTGATGTACAACATCATATGGTTCACTAACCCCTTTTCCAGATTCCCAACCTAATAATCATAGTCGAATCCAGAGGTAGAACAGTCTTCTGGGGAGCAATCGCAGCCTGAGTCAGACATTGAAGCAAACACCTCACGGGCGTCAAAAAATTCATCTTCGTTATCACTGTAACTACCCATCTTCGATTCCTAAAATTTCACCTTGTGAAAACCTAACCGACATATGTCACTGAATTAATATAATTTAGCACGGAAGATTGTATGTTGAATAAATGGAATTTTGGTTTAGGAAAAGGTGAAACATCCGAACCCTAATGCACCTAAGAAATCAAACAAGCAGAATTAAAATAAGGGAGAAGGAACAAAGCATACCTGAGATGCTAAGAGAGTAGAAGTGAGGACCGTGGAATGATGAGGAAATCGCCATTGAAACCTGCATAGTTTTTCAGTTAGGGTTTTCACAAGAGAAGATGAGAAGATCCAAAATCAAAATCAAAGCTATGAATAGAGGAGAGATTAAAGAAATAGAAGAACAAAAACATTAGGAATAGAGAATAAACATAGCATATCTTAGTCGGGCTAGGGTGTGGAAATTTGAGCAGTCTCTGAAGAGGTCACATGAGCCCGAGGTCACCGGAGGAAAATACCCCTAAGTTCGTTGAAGGAGAAGTGAGCAAAGATGTTGCCGACGAGGTGAGGCGAGATCATCGATCGATTGTTGTAGAGGCCAGAGAGCACCAAGTGTTTCCGTTCTTGAAAAAAAGCCCTAGTCCCTGCGATTTTGTGGAATTTAGTAGTATTATCCTTGCTTATCTTCTTCTTTTCTTCTTAAATCTTAATTACAATCTATATGAAATAGCAGGTTGCCTTTTTAGGTTAGAAGAGAGAGAGAGAGAGAGAGAGAGAGAGAGAGAGAGAGAGAGAGAGAGAGAGAGAGAGATAGAGGAAGACGAAGAGGAGCGGGTTTTAATTTTTCACATGGAATAGGCGGGGTTTTAATTTTTGGGGATTTCATTTCCCCCTTTCAAGAACGCGCGTTTTGAGTAAAACATAAAGCAACATTCACAGAGGGCGCACATTTTAGATAAAGTGCCCTCCGTGTTTTTATTTTTTTTACATGAGACACTAATCTAAGGGCACACAATGATGCGTGACATAAATCCTTAAATTTTTTGAAGAGGCGACACTTCTTTAATATCACTCCCTTTTGCGTAACATAAATCACTGAGTGTCGTAGATTGCGCGTCGTAAAAGGCTATTTTTCTAGTAGTGACAGGTATCCTCTAGTCAGTTCAGTTATGAGTCTCTACCTCTAGTTCATCACTTACATTAGAAACCCACTACCCACTAGAAACCCACTACCCACTATTTGGGATGCATCTTCGGGACACGACCTTCTCCGTCGTCTAGTTTGTAACTAGAGTCTCCTGTAGGGAAAGCGGACATTGTGTGTATAGATCTATATGGGATTGACACCCCCACACCCTGACTGCTAGCTACAGTCCACGGCCTACCAAGCCAAGGGGTGACAAATGTCATATTTTATAGACGCTTGTAGGGCGTCTGGTAGTCTAGTGTCGGTTAGTATGGTTGCGAGTATCCCGAGTTACCTTATAATTCATGCCCTTAAGGTAACGGTATTTCACCGGCAATTTACACTGTATGCTGGTAACTCATTTTCAGAGTCACACTGTTTTGACCTTGCAAGATGTATCTTTCATTTGATGCTGTCCGCGGTCTGTATTCTCTGTTTTAACCTTGCAAGACGTATCTTTCATTTGATACTGTCTGCGGTCTGTATTCTCTGTTTTGACCTTGCAAGATGTATCTTTCATTTGATATTGTCTGCGGTCTGTATTCTCTGTTTTGACCTTGCAAGATGTATCTTTCATTTGATGCTTTCTGCGGTTTGGATTCACTATTTTAGACCTTACCAACTGTACCTTTCATTTGGTACCTTCTAGGGTCTGTGTCTCCATTTGTTAGACGGAACCAGGCGTGTCGTTCGTTCGATACTCTCCTGGAGTCTATGATTCCTTTGCCTTAGTTAGCAGTCCTCACTGCTGAGGCATATGTTATTTCCCTAACTTCTCTTGCTTCCTTTAATAATCAAATTCAGTATTTTGATAATGATAACGATTAAGGAAAACTACTTTTTACCACATAACTCCGTCTAGTCTTGGTAGAAGGCTGCTTTTATTAAAGAAAAGATAGGATTTTCTGGAAAGAACTTTAATACACTGTAAAATCTTAAACTACTACATTATAAAGTTATTTGAATAAAATGTCACTAATTACTTATGAACTCACCAGCATTTGTAAAAATGCTGATACTCGCTTTTCAAATAACTTGTATTCTCAGGTTAGAATTAGACAGGTACATCCCCGAAGCTGTTAATGAAGATAGCTTAGTACCATGCTGTTCTTATCACATTTGTCTGTATTACTTTGATACCCTGTTATGTAAACTATGTAAAACTATTACTATTAATGCAATGTTTTGTTGTACTTTGATTACTATAATTCATGTGTTGTTATACTTGACATGACGTCATCCACCCCAGAACGTTTCCGTTGTTCCGGTTTTGGGGTGTGACAGTTCGGTAATCTAAGGTGATGGATGACAAGAGTTCCAACACGGGTGTTTGATAGCTTACTACATGGAGATTCAATAAACATTCCCAACTAATGTTCTTTAAGAGCTTGTGGACACCTTTATAGATATAAAGGTCCTTAAGGGCTTGGATGTCCACAAAATTTTGTGCCCCCTTTACCCTTTGAATAATGCTTGCATAAAAAATCTCTTGTTGATTGGACTAAAAAATAAGACCAAATTCATAGGGGTTTTCCATGGAATATTGGTCTTGTTCATCATTGGTCTCTTGACCACCCATATGTGAGGTCCTAATTCTAGCCCTTTCCCATGGGAAGCCATTTCCCAATAAATTCAACAAAGTTTTGCACACAATAAAGGACAATTTGAAACTTTAGAGTATACACAACAACTAGCAATATCACCGATAATTACCCCAAAAGAATGTGGTTCTAACTATATGCACAAAGTAAAGCGTTTGGAACAATTATACCAATTTGTGCTTGAAAATTGTGGTAGGGTGATGTCCAATGCTTCCCCAAGCTTATCTTACAACATATTACAAACATTAGCTCAAAAATGGGAGACTAAAAAAATACTAGGGATTGCTCAAAACCCCCAAAATCAGCCATTATTAGGTGAAATTGAGATGTATGATAAAGAAGATGAAGAAAAGAGAAGAAATTCATACCTTGGAGCTTGATTTTTGAAGCAAAATTGAGGAAGATGGA